CCCCCCCCCGGAAAAAAAGCTACTGCCGAACACCCCCCACCCCTCGGTCGACACTGCGGGGCCTCCGGGTGTTGTGCATGCAACATGTACTGGCCTGTTCGCTGCTCATACATTGTCAATTAATTATTTCCAACGATAGGGATTTGGAAGTTTGTTGCGAGATGAGGACGGGGTACGTGAGGGCCATGTCGTCCACGGCTCCCTAACTCTCTGGCCTATGATATAACCGCCGAACCGCGAACGGATCACAGGGGCCTGAACCCGCCGTTGTCCTTTTTTCTTCCGCCCGCTTCGAAGCGTGGGCGTGGTGCTCGAGGGGTTGTGTACGACGGGAGCCAGTCCTGGTACTGCGAATGCGTTGTCCTTGTGTCCACCCGAGCCGGCTACATTCGGGATTAGAATGACTAAATAACCCTTGAGACTAACCCAGGCACCCAAGGGCGAACTCGACAGGTGGCACGCCTCTCATTCAACTGCCTCTAGCTATCATCGTCGTTTTATATCACAAACCTGACTATAGGTCAAGGGGAGGAGAGCGCCTTCTCAGGTGCGATCGATCGTTTCCTTTGCCCCCAGCCCAACCCTACAATGGTCAGATCCAATGTCGCGCGGTGGTGGTGGGGGGGGGTCGAGTGCTGCCCTTTTGGTGCTTTCCGCGCGCTACCCCAACAAAGATCTCTGTGTCTGCTCCCGATTCCTTTGCCAACGATGACGCCTGCTTTGTGCGGCCTGTTTCTGCCTCCCTGTCCCTTGCTCTGACTCTTGTCTCTGTTTCTGATCCTTCTCTCCTCTCTCATCTGATTCCAGGGCCTATCCTGCTGGACGAGTTCGTGGAGTACACCAAGGGAAAATCTGCAAACGAAGGGGGCGCAGCATCAGCATCTGGGCAGAAAAGCCGGCCATGATGGCAGGTGGTAGAGCGACAATTACGACGACAACGGGACCGGGCTTGGACGTCTTTCGCTGCGGACGTTTGAAAGAGGCAGAAACCAAGGTCGTGCAGTGTTTGGAGGGGTTGATTGGTGGAAGTTGGTCGTCGCGCCATCACGATTGTTCCTCATCGTCCGATTCGGAGATCTATCTGTGTGCATTCCGGAGATCTTTCTGGAGTAGCTTTGGACATCTGTATGCATACATCGACGGTTTCGGACTTTTGTCCGGTTGAGATGATGTCGGAGATGTATACATGACGGGTCACAGATTTTGGAGATCTCGCATGGGGACACTGCTGCTACGGTTGGCTGTGGTCCTGTGGCCGGCGGCAGCGGTTAGGTGGAAGGACCACCTCGACGTGTTTGTTGTGTCATCTACCGTTTGTTGGCGTTTGTTCGTCGATCTTCACCGATCTTGATGTTTGGTCCTCGATGGCGGTGTTTTCATCTGTGAGAGCATGTCATACGGGAGGGAAAGTGTGGCAGTTGATCTATCTGTGATCGACTTTGGCGAAATTGATCTCTTGCACGCTCTTGATGTTTGGCTTCTTCGATGACGACAATTGTTGTACGTGGATGATCTTTCACCCGAGGATGTTGCGGTTTTGGCCGTATCACGAATGCGGGGAGTCGGCAGCCGGTTGCCTCGCATGCTGTGGCGGTTCGGTTTTGCTCTCCGCGGTTTCATGGTGCACCCCCCCCCTCCCCTTCTCCCGCCCGCGCGTTTGATGTTGCGCTGCATTTGTTTGTGGATGGGTGGCGGTGGACGGGTCACGATTGATGACCAGACCCTTCTTTCGTGTGTTGTGTTTTTTTGACGCACCGGGTGGCTTCGATTCGAGCAACAAGCCCCAAGTGCTCATGGTTCGGTGCTGTTTTTTTTTTGTCGAATGGAGCCGGGGTCGTTGCTTCATTGCTCTTTTCCTGAGATTGT